ACCTCATCTAAGACGATATAATCTTGAGTAATACTGGTGCTTGGTGTTGTTTGTTTTGCAAAGGATAAAGTAATTGACGAGTATCATAAAATATTGGGTTGTGGTATATGTCTTTGGAATATAATCAAATCATGATCCCTAGGAGCTCCATTGTTCTCTTGTTGTCGACCCTCATATCACCATCTCCAACCCTCCCAACAATATCCTTGGCAAGGCTGTTGTGAAATACAATGGGAAAACAAAAGTTAACTAAAAAAATAAACTTATCATAAGCTCCAAAACTGTGTATAAAGCTATTTCCTTTGTTGAGATTATTATTTAATATACCAAACATATGTGAAGAGTAATGCCAAAAACTTTTTCCATCAATCAGATAGCAATCTTTGAAAGGATTTTAATTTAAAACTGTTCTCAATATCTTTGTTGAGATTTAGACTCTTTCTTTTTAATATGAAAGAAGATGAAATTAATTGATAACATCCTTGTCAATAAGGGTTGTGGTGCTTGGGGATCTATTTACATTTGAACTTAAATTCTAAACCGCTATAATAAAGCAGTAACAGCTGTGTATGTTCAATGTGCTGGAATGATGTCTACACTTAGTGAGAAGGATTTCTGGATGGTGGGAAATCTGAATCAAGAAGCAGCCAGGCTTTGGAAGATGGACGGAGGATACTCTTGAGGTATCTCAAGATTTGAGATTTAAGACATGAAGTAACTATAGGTGGAAGGCAAATTCCATGTTGTACCTGGATACTATAACACTATGTTCTTATCCATTTATCCTACTCTGGAAGTAATTTACATCTAAGTTGAATGGAACCCGTATTCCTTTGTTTGGAAGTGGTTTGCCCACCTTTAACATGTCAGAGTCTATAACTACGTTCAATAAACTATTAATAATCAGACAATCAATATCTTGTTTCATCAATCCAGATTGCATGTATCTGGGTCATTATGGGTTTTCCTCAGATCATTCCTCTTTAGTCACAGTGTGGGCTCTATCTGTTCATTTCTAAGCTGGACAGATCAGAGGATTTTCCACCTACTATTCTCACACTTTACAAGTTTAAGAAGCTCCTAACCTCTTTTCTATGATAATCGTTTCTCTTCACCTTTTCTTGTAAATAGAAACAATTGATTCACAATCAATTCATTACGTTTTTCAGGTGCAAAGTGAGTTTCAGAAAGCTTATGAGAGTGGGATAGCTAAGGCAAGGTAAAATTCTAAATGGTGTTTGTTTTATTTCCAACATTATATGTTACTCTAGCTGTTTTACTGCTTGGATTTAGGTATTGGGAACCAACTTATGAGGACACCTTGAATTTAATTGCACGATTGCCAGCCATTGCTGCTTATATTTATCGACGGTATGTAAAGCATATCCATCCTAATCAAAATTACACATTTGATATTCTATGGGATGTGTTATATGATACACACACACACAAAAGAAGAACAATGAGAGATATCATAATATCATATATTGTGTGATGACTTGATCAAAATTGACAGATTTCTACTAGCATCTGACTATTGAATTAACTTGTTATTTTAAAGGAAATACAAGGATGGAAAAATCATACCGTTGGATGATTCTTTGGATTATGGTGCAAACTATGCTCATATGTTAGGGTTTGATGATCCAGAAATGCTGGAGTTCATGAGGCTTTATATTTCCATCCACAGGTTTGCATTCCATTGCTAATGATGACCGTTTTATGATCATGATCAGTTGTATATGGCTCCTGCAATTACAGCAACCCCAGTTATTTTGCTAATGATGACACGTACATTGATAGTGAGAAGTTGTATAGTTCTCTTCTAATTACAGGCAATTGCAGTTTCTAATGTTTAATTTTTTTTTTACCAAAATTTTGTTTACAGTGATCATGAAGGTGGAAATGTTAGTTCGCACACAGCTCACCTAGTAAGTTACTTCCTTTAATCAAGCTCTTTCTATCCTGTACTATTTTTTCTTTATTAAATACTAATAACATGTATTTTTAATATGAATCACTTGGGCTGTGGTAAAGGCCTGTGTTTTTCTTATATTTATTGTTTTTTTTAATATACTGTACTATGTTTACCCCTCAGGTCGCTAGTCCTCTATCAGATCCTTACCTTGCATTTGCGGCTGCTTTGAATGGTTTAGCTGGTCCCTTGCATGGTTTGGCCAATCAGGTAATTTTGTTATTTGGTTTTCCATTTTTATCAGTTTTCTGTTTATCTGATATAAACTTTTCTTTAGTTCATCTTTCTGTTCAGAAATCGTATGTGGTTTTAAATTTTACTCATACTTACATTTTTACCATTTTTAGTAACACTTCTGCTTTACTATTATATTGTGTTCTGTTTACTTTAGTCACTTCTGTTCAGAAATCGTATGTGGTTTTAAATTTTACTCATACCTACATTTTTACCATTTTTAGTAACACTTCTGCTTTACTATTATATTGTGTTCTGTTTACTTTAGTCAGTTTATATGTATATGTTTGATTTTGTTCACTTCTGTTATGATGCTACAGGAAGTTCTCCGATGGATCAGGTCAATAGTTGCAGAGTTTGGAACTCCCAACATAAGTACAGAGCAGTTGGCTGACTACATTAATAAAACATTGAGTAAAGGCCAGGTAATGTCATAACTGATAGGAATCTGGATGCTAAATTGTGATTTATTTTTTACTTGCGTTTTGCTCAATTTTTATTTTTGTATAAAGTTTGAAGTAATGAAAATTGTTATGGAAGAGCTGAGGATACGAATTACACTTCAAAAAATGAAAAGAAAATCGATTGAAAAAAGCATGCCACTGTGTCCAATGTTTTGTGTTCAAAATGTTTTCCTCCTGAGGAAAATCATATGTTGGCTGAAGGCCATTATGGTTCTTCAGTTCCCTTTTATGTATTTGCACATGCATACACCCAGCCACACTTTTTCTTTTACAATACAAGCCTTCCCTAACGGGAAGTTTCTACTAGAAAATTTAATCGAGGTTTTAGTAGACCTTCAAAATAAGGAAATGATATATGTAATAAACATATTATGCTTTATTAATGTATGTTTTTTGTATGTGATAATATGTATATCTTTGCACCAAATGATTTAGAGAGAATACCACCATCTACTTCTAAGGTAATATAGGCTTTGGCTTTTTACTTTTGAATCTACAGGTTGTGCCTGGATATGGGCATGGGGTTCTGCGCCAGACAGATCCAAGATACACGTGCCAGAGGGAGTTTGCTTTGAAGCATTTGCCTAATGATCCACTTTTCCAGTTGGTAATCACTTATTTCCTAATTCCAGATTGTGTTTGCTTTGGAGTGTTTTCTTGCTACACAACCAACTCTCTTTTCTTGTGATTTAATTTCTTTATGATCTAACGCGACTGTGACTCTTTCAGGTGTCTAAAATAAAAGAGGTTGTGCCGCCTATTCTTACTAAGTTAGGCAAGGTAATGTTTATGTTTTCATTTTTCAATATACCTTTTATGGAATTATTTATTGGCAACTTCGTTCACTCTTTGAATAGTTTCATTATGATGCAAGTATTGACTTTTACCATGGTAGACAGTCACTATTTTTATCTGATCCTTTACATTCTAAGTTGGATCTGTTTGCTTTATATTTTGCCACATGTTGTTTTCATGAAGTGTCCCACATTTAATTCGATACAGGCTGAACTATAATAAATGTACTCATTACACTCTTTACTATTAGTGGGAATTTATTGCTGATATGGTTGAACTTTTTCGTGTAGGTTAAAAATCCATGGCCAAATGTTGATGCTCACAGTGGAGTGCTACTGAACTACTATGGTCTAACTGAGGAAAAGTATAGTGTTACTTCTCGCCTGTTCGACTTGAAATAGTTTTCTTTTTTCAATTAATTTAGGGTGAAAACTGAATCTAATGACTTGTGAAATTGTTGTGGACAGCTATTATACTGTTCTATTTGGGGTATCGAGGAGCTTTGGAGTTGGTCCTCAGGTCTGTCGTCCCCCATTGTTTCCTTGTTAATATTTCTCTTTTTGTTACATTGAGTTAGCGTTTCTCTTTTGATGGATTTCAGTTGATATGGGATCGGGCTCTTGGAATGCCACTAGAAAGGCCAAAGAGTGTCACACTGGAGAAGCTCGAGCAATTGTGTGCCAAATCATCCTGAAATTTAAAGCGCCGTTTCTCTGTTAATAATGACTAAAACACACTGCGTTAGATATGTTGTTGAGTTAAAAAGTTTGGTATGATTTGTAATGAGCAATATTCATTGCCCTCCTCCATCGTTTCTATTTTAGAAGATTTTTGTATTTAGGTTTTAGGGTGGATTTTCACCCTCAAAAGTTGTTTCCACATTTTTGAATGAACTAATTATTAGGTATGAAGGAGCATATATAAGAATAAAGGCATATTTAGTGTCCTTGTATTCTTTCCTACTTTGAATGACGTGTTCGACAAAGGCATCGACAAGCATCTTATATACTTTGATCCTTCCCTATGGATTAATGTAACTTTTCTTTCGAATGAAAAATAAAAAGGACGCAACTTTATTCTTTCAATACTCTTCAATGCTTTTATCGGCTGAAATTCGTAAAATGTATGTCAAATGCGAGTTTTGTATTCTCAAATTAGCGGATGCATTTTCCTTAATGATTTTCTTCTACTCCTTGATGCATGTAATTATAGACTCATGAGATGTATTGTATAGGAATTAATGAGATTGGAACTATGCAAATTATGAATGATGACGTTGATTTGTTTTGAAGAGTGTTTTAAATGTCTCATCGACGATTATTTTGTTTAATTTATGAACTAAATGTTTCTTTACACATTATATATT